CATTTATGTTAATAAGAGGGCGACCATGGGGCTCTCCACAACTAATTAAGTCTGCAAACACCACAATGGTATTCTTTATGGCGTCATCTAAACGTTCACTTGAAACAATGGCCTACCAGTACCTGGTTAAGCCGGCAAGTTCGCTCAAATGTAACGTGCTCGAGCTTAACTCTGCAAAATGTGTTTAGAAAATATTTTGATCAAGCCTTTTTAAATGATCTGTTTAACAAAGACAACTTGAATTGTAAGTTTATTACTAATTATACTATTCCACTGCATTATATTGTGTATAAGGATGGGGAACAAACTATGGTAAAGTTAAATAATATAATAGTCCTCCCACTAAGGATAATCTTCATCTCAGATATGTTGGGGTTGATCCTCGAGTCTTGCGCACAGATACTTTGTTTTAAACATATTTTTATTACACATTTATGATAAACGCCAACTAAAATATATTACTTAAAGCGGCTTTAACTAAGAGACAAGAAAAAACTACTCCTAAACCGAACGAGCACATGCTAACAAAAAGTTATTTGAATAGTTCACAAGCTCAGAACTATTTATGAGAAGCAAGAAATTGTTTGTCAAGTCAATTTTTGTTAAATAAAATTAAAGCCTAAATACATATCAATGTTCCCTTTAAAACTTTGTGTAAAATTTGAGCATTCCTGGTACAAATTAGCAGCAACATTCCTATACAAAGTCGTATAATGTATAGATTGCCCTATTTAAGAACCAATCGTTCGAATTTGCTTAGAATACGTTAAATAATCGATTCGTGGGAGGAGAACGCATTGATCCTTAATTTTCCCGCTAAATGTAGAGCCAAAAATCCCATATATACGTCCTCCAGGCTTATGACATGTCATGTGACGTCCGGTTTTTTCACTTATGTTTGCTATGAAATGAAACAGGCGGAAGGACGAACATACAGATAAATTTTCTAGACTATGTTGGACCGTTAAAGATAATTTCATGCTTTTAAAAACGTACCCTGCAATGCTGCTTCTTCTTTCACAGCATGTCAACATTGCCTAATTATGCTGTTCTATTTTATGTGTGTGTGACAGATTTCTGGCTGACCCATACAAAATCATGGGCAGGTGTAGAGGCCTTGTACAGCTTAGTGAATTTTTACTTTACCTCCGCTTTAAATATCGGCCCAGAATAAATTAAAGAAAGAAAAGAAGCAGGCGCTGTGCCCCAATTTTCTTGAAGGAGCTGCACTAAACAGGCGTGTCGTCCCTATGTGCCTTTCTAACTACTTGTAAAAAAAAACTTGGTAAGCGTATGTATACGTATATCAATTATCTTGATCCTACAAATAAAGTCGGTATTCACACATTGTGTTTGTTTCAATGGTTTCCCCACTCTCGGCGCTGTTCTCTTATGTCTTTCCATAGCGTTTAGTCTCGTGGCATGGTCCCATGTTATGGTTAGGCCGAGACGTCCCTGTAACAATCTTGGAGCGATTTGTAGGCCAGCGTACGTGACCGCGAAGTGGCGCTGACGTCAACAAAGACGTACAAAGAGGCAAAGAATTGTATATGTAGCCGTCATCGATGAGGGTTCTGGCAACTAGGGTGTGTTATTAGAATTTCGGACCCATTTTGAATTAGCTACGCCAAGACTGTGGCGACACGTCATCGTACTGAAAGCATTTCTCGTTAAAGTAAGCGTCTTTGACTCAGTTTGAACTTTTATATATGCAACTGCTCAAACTTTTATATATGCAAACATGTTCTCAAGTGATATCAGCTTTTTTTTCTTTCTTGTCTATATATATATTTATATAAAATATATATATTTTTATAGTGCAACCACCGCCAAAAATCAGCGCCCCGTGTTGCGGCATCTAGTGGAGATATTGCGAACCCGTGTGCTCAATCGACTGGTTCCCTTTTTCTCAAGAAAGTATCTTTTTGTTCGAAAACCAACAGAAAAGAGCTTACTTGTGAGTTGTGTTATTATTTATTAGTAAAGAAGTACCGCTGGTTGTTAACAGTAATCAATTATACGTGCAAAAAACTATTAATATACGAGGAAATATGTTCATAACACTGCTTGTCACTGCGAATTTTTATTGTCTCACTTGCAGTAGAGCAACAACAGGAAGACCACTCTCCTTTTTATTCCTCCCCCACCCTCCCCCCCCCCCGCTCTCCCTCATGGAACATGGTACACCTAGCGGCACATGTGTTCCTCAAAGCAAAATTTGACGGATTTATGGTGACCAGAAGCGTATTAAAGGCCTCGGGTTTTAATCAGTCTAAGCGGGAATGTTTGGCTTCACACTTCGAAAGCATGCAGAATCGGTCGTACTTTAAGGCAAAGCGCCAGACTTTCAGTGCAGATTTTACCGTGTTTGACGACAGGTTTTGTGGAAGCGCTTTTTGTCATAAGGGAAAAGTTTATACCCTGAAACCTTAAAAGAGAAAGCAGCGCACATAAAGGTTTCTGGCCTTGCTTTTTTTTTCTTTTAAGATGTAGATCTGTAGAGCTTAATTTGTGTTCGCTTTTAAGTCACACCGAACCAATAGTTACTAGTAGAGGTCATATTAACACCCTCTACCTAGACATGTCTAAAGAATTTGATTGCGTTAGGCACAATTTATTTTTGCGCAAGCTTGCCTCACATGGTTTCAGCCCGCATTTCTGTAGGTGGTTTCATAGCTACTTGTGTGAATGTCGCAATTCTATTTGTGTCAATGGTGTCTTGAGCAGAACGTAAGGACGCAAGTGAGCAGGTGTATATCCAACATTTTAGCGAAAAACCCAAACCGTTTATTTCAACATCTGGCGTGCCGCAGGGCTCAATTCTTTGCCGCTTTTGTTACTGTTGTTTCTAAATAATATTGCTTTATAGTGTTAGCAATGCTAACATCCTTCTGTTTGCTGACAATGTTAAGTTATTTCTAAGGGTGAAGTCACTATCCGACTGAAGTACATCGAGTTTCAAGGTGGTGTTGTGATGATGTTTATGTTAAATTGACAAAAAAAAAAAAAAAAACGAAGACGACGCTAAAATCGGAAAAAGAACGGCCCGAGAGATTCCGGGAGGGGCAGTCAGCGACCGACAGCCAGGCCAGAGCGCTCAGGCAAAGGGCCTGAACCAGAACTGGGTTGCAAATCACTGACAACCAGGAACCCGCCGGACCAAGTCAAAGCCTCCAAGGCAGCGGACAAGAACGACACAGCCCCCACACCCCACGCCCCACATCTCCCTTTGCAAGGGAGATGTTGGAGGCCTTGGCTATAGACAACGAAGAAGAAAACTGTGAGTTCCGCGTCAATAACCCTGCCACCGCAAGAAAAGCTCTTTATGAAGGGCGCCCTCTATACTAAGTAAAAATAGAAATAAGAAAAAAACACAACTAGAGAAAATATTTTTTTTTTAATATGCATAAGATTTAGTAGAAGAGGAGGACGATCTCTTAAAATAGTTGGTAGTCCAGAGATTGACTGTCTTTTCTGTTTCTTCTTCCTTCATTGTTCAGCTCGTTTCACCCGTAATGTAGGGTAAATTTGGCGGCTTTATAACTAACTATTGAGTTTCACGTTCCTCCTCGCCCGAGTGGAAACATTTAAACTTTTTATCCATCTTGCTTCGCTGTGATCCAATTTTCAAAGATACAAATGGCTTGTGATTCACTAAAATTTAAACTCGACATCTTTTCATCCACTCATGAGTTTATGTTAAATACATGTGCCTGGATGTCTGCGAACTAATCAATGATACATTTTTGCAATATAATTATGTTGCATGACGTTTATTGATTTAACTTTATCGTTTCCTGGAACGATCTTTCATCATTATTGCGGTAACTTCACTATGTCATTGCCTATTTTGTGTTTGCAATTTGTAAACAGTCATAACCTTCGCGCCGTTAAAGTGGAGGTGAAACACATTGTAACTTGCCTATAGTAGAGCGGCTTGTCTGTGCGCAATATAACGCAATCACAAGCTAGTTTTTTTTTTTTTTCGACGTCTGCCGGTGGTTTAAAAGAAGTGCCGCTTATCTTTGTTGCTTTTGTAACCGCTCGTACACATGACTATATAACACGTCGGCATAACCACAAATCTATCCAACTTCAAGAACAGTTCTCCCGTGTTTCTTTTTTTTTTCTTATGATTGTTTTTCTTTTTTTTTTTTTTTGTTTCGAGGGTATTTGAGTTCAGGGAAGGAAAGGGCTGACACATTGAGGGTGGCATCATTAATTGTCGGTTTCTAGTTGAAAAAAAACTGTATTCACTGTTTCCGTCCCTACTTGTTTATTTTTTTTTTTAAGTTCAAGAATTTGTATTGAACGATACTTCGCAAGCCAGGATTTTGTTTCGGGGGGGGGGGGGGGGGGGGAGGGGGGGCCGCCCATGACAAATGCTGTATGAGGGGGAGGGGGAGAGGAGGTTCCAGCAAAATGGAAGATTTCGGGAGGGGCGGGGGCGGGCACCATTCCCCCCCCCCCCCCCCCCCCCCCCCCTGTCTACGTGCCTGTCGCAAGCTCTACCTTTTCTATCAATGCAGCATCCGAGATATCGCGCGCAAGCCGCCACAGCCGCCTCCGCATGACGTGCGTACTGATCCGAAACATGCATAGGTTTGGACGCGGAGCGGACGGAGCCGGGTGGAGCCGGGTGGAGCCGGGTAGAGCCAGTGTCACTGTTAATGCCCAGTCTGCCACTGGAGGCGCTAGCGTCGACTGTAGGGTTTGACCCAGAATTTGTTTGGCTCGGCCGCAGAGCGCGAGCTCCGCAACTCATACGAAACTTCTAGTAACGCTGCGTGCGCGCCCGCGTGTCTGTGTGTGTGTGTGCCTATGAGCAACTTTTTTTTGTATTCGGTTAATTTTTAGGACACGTTTTTCAGCTTTAAGACAAGAAAATTGCTTGAAAAAGTTCAGCGACGCAGACCTACTTAGAGCGAGTTTTGAGCGATGTCCAACTTCTCCGCTAAAAAAAAAAATATATATATATAAAAAATAAAAAAAAGCTTTATTTAACCTAGAGCAGCCGTATGAAAGGGCACTCCGACCGGCCCGTGCCCAGGAGGGACGAGGTAGCCAACGAAGTATCGACCGTCGCCCCTTGCGTCGACTTTTTTCCTCCCTCCGGCCTTGCCACTTGGGTGGATGGGAACGGGGTGCAGGAAGGGCGGACCCCCGTGGACGTTGAACACAGGCACGAGCTGGAAGCTGGGCTGTCCCGGGATCCCAACGCCGTGCGCGAACCCGGGGTCGCCTCCCACGCTGGCGTCCTTCGCAGAGCCGTCTTCCTCGGAGGACTTGTCTGCGTTCGGAAATTCAAGCAATAAACCTGTTTGATGCAAACAGTTTCAACTTGTGCGCTGTATGATCAGAAATGCAGTCGCGAGAGAGAGGCACTTAATTTTGTTCTTTTCTATTTTTTTCCGCAAAACCGTTGTTTGCAAAATTATGGTAGACGCCTTATATAGCGCTCCAGCGGTACTTTGTGCTATCCTCTATCCTATTTATCCTTCATTTTTATGTTCAGCTGGTCCCACTCAATATGCTTAAGTGTATCCAACTAGCTCACAATATTCCCGTCGTGACTGGACAAAACGCTAGCCACATTTTCTAAAAGAGCGCAAGAAACGACACCTAGAGCAGCGAGTAAATTTTCCCCAACCTTCAGAAATCATTTTAAATTGTAGAATTACGATAAAACTGAAACTTAAACTAACCTGCCAATTTAGTGCTCAGACCTCCTGTTGTGACCTCAGATGTTGTATAATCATCAGCACATGGGCAGCTTGAGTCTGTTTCGCCAAGCGTCGGAAGCAGTCAAAAGGCCGTCGGGATCGTCCGTGGAAATAATGGACTACGATTCATCAAGGTTGTCTGAGTCAAGCAATGACCAGCAAATGTAAGATTTTCAGCACTAGACTTCAAGCGATTCACCGTTCGCATTCGATCTGCCGGCATCGCCCTCGATGAGACCAACCGTCGTGGCGGATGCATTCGCGATCCGCCGACATTTAAACTGAGATGCCATTTCAGGAGTGGAATGGTATGGAAGGTTTTGTTTGCTAGCATGGCGCGAGCTGTTTTCTAGCACGACGCGAACACTTGCAGCCAGTGTTCGCGTCAGACTGCTCGGACCCACTTTCGTCCCAGAAACTTCTCGGTCGGAGACGGATAAGATGTGACACTGTCGCATTTCATCGTGGTGTTATTGCACCGCACAGCGCATTACCAAGTCTCCCCACCCTCTCTATAGCATGCAGCAAATAACCTAAGCCAAACACAATCCGCAAAAGCCACAGAGGTTCGCTATCACTACAACGCACAACGCCATGGAGGAAGAAGCGTTGTCTGCTCCCGGATAAATATGACGTCACGAGCGCCCCTGCTCGTTCTTGCCAATAGAGCGGCCGCCAGCGTTTCAGAGGTGTACCAGTCAAGTTAAGTTTTTTTCTCAAAAGAAAATGATTATTATGATGAGATATTTTGGAACCACACTCACGGGCAGACATTTAGTGCACGGCGAAAATGGTTTCAAACTTGATGACCATCAATATTTCGCCGCAGCTCCCATTTAAACGTAGCGGCCAGACAATAAGGTTTAATGTTTCGCTGCAACAGACTTCTATGATAAAGTTCCTTAAAAAATGTGGGTGTATGCAGATATGTGTGCGTGGAGCTTTGTAACGGAGCGAGCACCTTCGAGAGTAATTTACGCAAAGTCCGTGTTGTACCAAATTAATTCCAACGTGTACAATTGAGGTTACCTGGACAGTCATTTAATAAAATCGCGCGTTTAATACGCACAGTTTATGAATCATATACTTCTTTCCCTCCGTGTTTCTCGCGATCGCTCTTTTTTTAACACTCCAATCGCGGAAGGCCGTCACACGAGTGCTGCATCAGCGATCAGCTGAAACTCGTGGCTTCGCTGTTTGGACACGAGTGGCAGCCGAATGCTTCAGGAGAGCTCATATGCCCACTGATTGGACACAAGATCCAGCCGAATGCTGCCGCAAAGCTGGTGTTCGGACTGTGCTCCGGGCTGACTTCGGTAGGTGCCCTGTACACAAAATTCAGCAATACGGCTTTGTTAAGGCCCTTTCACACGTCATCGCTTGTCTACATTACGTTTGCTGTGATCCAGATCTTGCTCCAGCAGATCCAAGATACTCCCGCGGGTCACTGGGTGCGATCAGAACGGCAGCGCGACGCTCTTTTCTGTTTTATTCTAATTTCTAGCGTAGCGAAAGCTAAATATGGAGGCTCTGGGGATTTTCCCCCCGGTTTTTTGGTGCACTCATCGGATTATTCGGTTGACGAGTATCCAGCAGCACGACGCAACTGGTCCATTTTTTTCGGTTTCGGAATGTCTTGTCTTCGTAGTTGCCGCTGCGGCTGAAACGGCGGCGCTGCATCCCATTCTGTGTTAACACTACCTTGACAACGGTAGCTAAAAAAGGGGGAATTTCTATTTATGTGGTTATCCTGGGTCATTGATACTCGTATGAATTTCAGTTTGTTTTGTAAACGGGGAGTAATGGTTCTGCCAGTGTATAGTTGCCCCCTTGAAAGCGAGATTTAGTCATTTGGTGAAACGGTCTTATTTGACTCGAAAGCTCGGAAAAGTAAAACAGAACCTGTTACGACCGCTCTGCGGCTCTCATTTGTGCACCAACTCTTTGCGTCTGTATTACATTTGATTGGAACATAAACTGAAACATACATGCTCTCGATAGATTGCAGCATGATGGTTCTCAAGGTATAGATACTGTTTATAAAGATTATGAAGCTAAAGTGTCTCGAGGGGAAAGCTGGCATTGGGTTGACAAATACTCATGTCTGAAGGAAGTCATAACAATGAAGGACGAACAAAGTTCTTCTTGTCTGTGTTTAAGTCGTTTTTGCTTGCCCATACGTTTAATAATCTATCTCAATAGAGGGCAGCGACCATAAAAATTGTAAGCTCAATTTCTCAGCGTTCTGCGCTGACTCATATTGTTCGTAAGCTTAAGGCCGTCGTATAAAGGTTGATGTTAAGCGCTCGTGGTAGAGGAGCATGCTTTTATTATGTGTGGGTGTGGGTGTGTGCGCGCGCGCGCGTGTTTTAGTTTATGTAAGGACTTTCTTAAAAAAGATAAGATTTTGTCGGTCTAGCGTCATCATGCGAGCGAATGCAAGCAATCGAGAAACGCAAAGAAGGGAACTCAAATTCCGTTATAGAGATTAGACATTAAAGTTATTAATGTTCTAGGGTTGTTGGCCTTGTATCGTGTATGTCTTCATAACCCCTCGTGTTGGTAGATTGCCAAATTTGTTTGCACCCCTCTAATTCTACACAACTATCTTTCCGTACCCTCAGCAGCTTCCTGTCTTTCAGGGGAGGGTTTATCTTCACCTTCTGCCGGCTTGGGCTCTTCCTCCGGCTTGGCATCTCCTTCCGGTTTTGCGTCTCCTTCTGGATTTGCCTCTCCTTCTGGCTTCGGCTCTTCATCCGGCTTCGGCTCTTCACCTGGCTTCGGCTCTTCACCTGGCTTTGGCTCTTCGCCTGGCTTTGGCTCCTCGCCTCCCCCGGGATACCTGGGAGGAATTACTTCACCTCCGGGGCCTTTGCGGCCTTCCTCACCATCGGTGCATTTGGGACCACCACCGTGGGGAAAGACTCCCGGCACAAAGGGGGGACCTCCGGGACCGTGGGAGATAACCAGGACGGGCCCGTGGCCCCCCAGCGGCGTAGCTCCGAAGAAGTGGGGCGGCGTTAGAACGGGCGTGTGAGGAGCGACGAGAACATGTGCCCGGCTTACCGCAAGTAGCGCCACGAACGCCAGTGCGCCCTGGAATGAGGCAAAATGCGCGTCATCCTGACCGCTTATGCTGTGCAGTAGGAGCAAGGTAGGATGAAGACGCAAATGTTCCAGTGACCCTTGTGAGAAATGTTAAACGCGACGACAAATAGCCGGTTGTATCTGCTCTGCTTATGTAGTTTAGGGGGAGAGGTGTAAAAATTGTTGAACCTTTATTGCGAAGTTGATTGTGCACGCGTATATACCCGGAGAAACATAACACAATAATTAGGGCAAATGCAAGAAGGTATAGGTTTGAACTCGCCTAAGAACAAGCGCAACTTATTGTCACAAAAAATATATTTACATCCCACGTAAAAATAAAAAAAAAAAACTTCCTAGGACATTAGTATAGAGAAAGCCAACTTGTACTGAAAAAAAAACTCAGCAAATGTGTTTTTTCTGATATGTTAAAGCAGGAATAACTGATACGGATGCACTTTCTTCAGATCTTTTACATTCACTAAAGAGCGACTCAAGGGTTTTCAAGGATGAACATTTCCCCGCGAGAATTTTTGTCAACACACACGCGGAGCGCAAAAATATCCGGGATCTTCATATCGGTCGCCAAAAAAACGAAAGCGACCTTTGAGTATAGAGACTGCGTTTAAGACGAGCTTTTGTGTGCATTGTGTGAGACTACACTAAGCAATAACGAGCTAGAGTGTAAAATCGCCACCATCACGCCAAATATTTTAGGAATAAAAAACAAACGTGTGACTAAGATGAAAAGCAGCTTTCTGTCTGTTGCCAAGTAGAAGATGCGACGACTGACTACTACGAACATAATCTTTATACCTCCTGAGCTGCAGGTAAAAGGAGGAGAACGTGTAAGTGACGCTTTACACCTTCAGGTATCATTCCAATTATCAGTCAAGTAGGTCCCCGTTTTCACTAGATTCATGTATAAAATGGTCGACCATCGCAAAAAAGGTGATGTCTCACCTGTACCCCTTCCCCTGGCCCCTGTTTTCACTCACCCGTTAACCTAATTCAACCAGCCTTCCAACTTCCCCTCTCCCTGTCTCCCCTCACACACAGAGACAAATAAATAAGCAATCAAACGGACACAGCACCATTTGCAATCTTGACCAGGTAATTAAATCGACCTTCGACCTAAAACCTGAGAGACATAAACAATCCCGTATCTCGCGCGTCTACAAATCATGACCTTGTAGCGGCTCAGTTTGTCACAAATATTGTTACATAAGAGCGTGACCGTCACCAACAGGAAATAAATGAGTTTCCATGATAATACATGGCACCCCCCAAAAAGAATAGAATGAATCGCCCTTTCGCGCATGCAGGTATTAAGTCCGGTAGGTGTTGAAAGACGGCTTACCTTCATCGCGACGCGAGACGACTTAATTCCGGACGTCGACGGACAACAAGCACATGCGTAAAAGACGGGCGAACTAATAGCAGCCTCCCAGATATTTATACCCTTCGCTGAGAGGGGGCCGGAGGGGTGGGAGGGTGCAGGAGTGGCTTGCCTGGGCCTTTCTCGACTTTTCCGCCGGCAAGTTGTTGCTATAGCATGGACGCGCCGGTAGCCACACCAAACCAGCAAGGACACGTGCGGCCAGGCGAGCAGTGGATGTCTCGGACCTCTGCGTGCACGAACCTTTCCTTGTCACTCTCACCCAGCACCCCTTCCCCTTTTGGGCAGTTTATACATACTCCTGGAGGAAAACAAAAAATACAAATAAATATTGAGAGCCGTTTAGGAGGCGCGGTTACGTTTCTCTCGTATCAAGAGAGCTGGATAAACGTGCGCGGAAAACCAGAGGTGCTTCTTTTTTCTTTTTTACGACATCTAATAAGGAGGGAAATTTTCGCTGATTTGTTGCTTCCTGTTTCGTGAGAGCGTGCCATTGAATGTGGAAGGACTCCAGAAAGAAGAGAACAAAACGATTCGCGCTTTGGGCATGATTGAGTCGCTAATAATAGCTGTTGACGGGGAAAAGTAGACGGTGTCTTTACCGTTATGCTAACCTGTTATGCAGAAACTAAAAAGTAAGTGCAATAGCGAACAAAGAATTAACAAACTTGTACAGCCATACAATGCTAGAACTATTCTGAAGAATACAACTTTGAAGAGCCGAGTGCCCTGCGATGAACGGCAGATGTGAGAAACTCTCGATGCACCTCTATATTCTACATTCAAGGGCTGTGTAATCCACAGAAAACAATCTTTACGCGAAGAACTTTCCATCAAGCTTTCTCTCGCGTGCGCCTTTAGCGTATAATATGGCCATATATGGACTAAGACGATTAGCGGGCATTCTACCAAATGAATTCTGAAAATAAAAAAGACCTTTGAGCTTAACTTGGTGTAGCATAAAATTAGACGCAATGGTTGTACATAATATCCTATTCCTGGGTTTAGGAGATGACGTGCATCGCGCTGAAAATGGGTTCATTAGGTTGACATATATGTTAATTATATAAAGTAAATTATTTACACTCAACTATTTAAATATTTTCTTGCTCGTCCGTACTTCATCCTCCCAACCGTGACATATGACAGCTCTCGACATTATAGCGGCCGTTTCTCTGAAGAGTGCGATTTCCAACATGTGTTCATGTTTTCTTTTTCATTACTATAAACTAAAAAGCTGAAGGGTAAGCGTATTTCTATAACTCGACGAAACACTGATTAAAGAGGTCGCGATGGGATTCTTTTCTACCTATATGGAACTTCACTGAATTTATCCAGCACATACGTAAACTCAAACACAAACAAGGGTATGCAGACTATTTGTACTCTAATTTTATCACCTTTAAAATAATAATTATTCTGGATAGAATCTATGTAAGTGACTATTTGAAGCGAGTGCGTAATGGTGTTGTTTCTTAATGCAAAAATTACCTTCGCAGCCAAATTGTTTTCTTGTACCATGTGTTCACATTGACCCCGAATCAACAAGTAGCAAATGTTTCGAAACAAGCAGCTCAACGCATGACTAAGGTTCATTCTACCATTTAAGACGAAGCCACTGGAAATATAATTTATTCTTAACGGGATGGCAAATCCGTCGACAATTTTCCACTTGCCCAGTAGCTCGAAACGAATGATGTATCCATGTTTTTTTAGGTAGCCCTTTCATTTCTTTTCGGGGTTATACAAAAAAATAGTGGTACACGTCCTGCACTCTAGACATTTGAACAAAGCCAACATGCGACAATTCTTTCGTAACTAACTCAAGCACACTTCGAAAAAAATTCATGATGCTGATGGATGCGCATGTTTGCCTGCAAATAACTTAAGTGGAACTTTAATCACGTAGTAGCCAGTGTTTGTAGACGAAACAAAACGACCGGTCCCTTACACGCGGAACGGATACCATGCACCAAGAAGGAAGGAAAATGCCCAACCTTGAAACGACCAAAAGGCGTGGTCGCATGAAATTGCCAGGAGTGCCCGCAAATAAGAGGTCCGCGTCCGGCTGTCGATACATTTTGTCCAAAGCACCGCTCGTGTGATGCCCACGTGTGGACAGCGATGCTCATTAACGAGTGGCCGATCCCTATAGGCGCGGGGGCTGAAAGGTGCGACGCTACGTCCGTCCCTTGTCAAATCGGCAGTTCGTTTAGATGCCGAAGCCAGAAATCTTTGCGAGGTCAAGTTTGGACAGACAGGTGAAGGAAGCCAACCCTTCTAGATGTATCGGTATTTCTTATCGTTTCACATTTTACCTTTAATAGAACTTCCAAGTAATGTATATAATAAAGGACTTCTAATGTCACTTTTTATTTGCAAAAAAAATCGCCCTTAGTTTTGGATGTTATTGCATTCCACTCAAAGGTGCGAATTTTGGCGGTTTATGTATGGACGCATATCTCCTGTAAATCAGAGTTGTCGCAATGCTGTTTCTTATTTATAATTCTTGGCCGATTCATTGACGCACAAAATCATCCTGAGGTAAATTTTTTGTCTATGAGAGCTTACATAATGACTGTTTTATTGCGTTGTTGTACAAAACATAATATTTATCTCATACGCACCAATACTAAACGTCTTGTAACTGACGGAACTGTCACGCAAAAACAATGGAGAATTTCTACTTTTTCTGCGCCGGGGAACTAAAAGCGATAATTCCCCTTTGAAGCACCTCGTTAAGTAAACACTGACACTTGAGATACTATACTCTGTCTCATCCTACGATGGACTAAAGGCCAAAGCCACGGGCCACCAGGTCCAATCACGTTTCATGCTAAACTATGACATGCCTAGCATTTATTAGGGGTGGACGAATAATGCTCCGAATCCAAAAGCGCTGCATCATTTAGCTTTGACACTGCAAACAGCCTGTACATCGTGGCTTTTTTGCAATGTAACATTCTCGAGTCACTCACTGCTATTCAATTCGAACCACTGTCCGCCCACTCCCAGCAGTGATCCCAGACGCGGGCCCTGATACGTGCATCAAAGCACAATACCACGTGATTTCTAAGTAGCTCGTGATTGGATCTAGCGGTCCGTAACTTTTGCCTTTAGTCCATCGTAGGGTGAGACGAAGTTTATAGGAGCTACGCCAAAAGGCAAACATAAACAGTGAATGGTGTCTCATAAAAACATGAGCTGCTCCCAACACCCATGGCCTTACGAATAACCCTTCAATACTATTAGCAGCGACGTGACCCTGGGAGCATTGTAAGTTCATCCTAACTGCCGCTCTTTATTCGAAATAATACATTTTTCGTTTTGTTTCTGAATACATAGTATTGTGCCCATCACTGCCCTCTACGTACCTTTCCAGCGCTTATCACCCGGGCTAAAAATGCCGAGTCTCTGAGCTGTGGAAGCATGCGCAGCGTCTGATATACCGCACGACAAAGCTACAGCGCATGCTCAGAAGGCGTTCCACAACCCATCAGAGAAAGATGGCAGAGCGCAGAAGATTTTTGGAAACGTCTGCAGTCACAGCTCAAGATACACAGGGCTTAGCTGACTACGTTATAAAAACTTTGCTTTGGGTTAGTTGGTCCATGGTAGGTATAAGGTTTGAAAGTGCAAACAGACACGGACACTAGAAAATAACACAAACGACAGGGACAAGGCGCTACTCTCAACTGATTTATTGAACGGTTGAACGGTCTCGCAATATATCAGTTGAGAGTAGCGCCTTGTCCCTGTCGTTTGTGTTATTTTCTATTGTCCGTGTCTGTTTGCGCTTTTAAACCTTATACTTACTACGTTAGTACGTTCAGCTCTTTGATTCGTTTTTCGGCGTTTTTACGAGCTAATGTCCCCAGCATTTGGAAGGATAATTGTATTCTGTGGAATCGCCACTCTCTGCATTTCTTTAATTTGTCAGCGACTTTAGGCTTGTGAGACGAGGCCCGGCATCTAAGTTCATGATCTAGCTAGTGTGTGTGTGCGCGTGTGTGGGGTAGGGAGTGCGTATATTTGTATGTGTGCGTTTGCGCGCGTGCGCGCGCGCGCGTGTGTGTGTGTGTACGCGCGTACGCTCGTATCTGTGTGTTAAGTGCTAAACAAATATCGTCTTTGAATAACGCTTAAGCTTACTGTAAAGTAGTCAACCCACCATTCCTTCATACGTGTGCACATTCACCTGGAATCCAAACACTCAGAGCCTAACAACGTAGCATATATTTATTGTTTATTAGTTGAGCCAGTACATTAACTTCCACTCCTGCTGTTCATTTAGCTCGAACCGAGTATACCAGTACATCGCACCGAGGAACGAAAGGTTGGTCAAGACTGAAATATATATACGTAGCTAACTAAATTCATGCTGATGATAATTACAGCGCTAAATACGTCTAACAAAAGAAACACGATTTACACGCACGCCTAATGTTTCATGCTCTCCTAATGTGCGGGACTAAAATGAAGGATCTGAGTTAAAAACTAATTTATGATCAATAGAAATGTACTGAACTTTTCACTTAGACACTTGGTAGTCACGTAGGCCAGTAGCACTAAGATTAACAAGTCTGTTAGTTTGCACTTGTAATGTATATGTTATTTTCTAAATACCGTTTGACGACTTCCGGATTTTTCCTCATCCGTGTTCCTCGTTGTTTTTGGTGTGTTATTTTTGGTGCGTTGTTTTTTTATTGGAGCTTACTCTGCGTCAAATTGTTTTTGGTGTTGCTGTGCAAAGGCAAATTCTGTCGAAACACCTCGTATTGCGCTTACTGAGGCACTGCGCGATTGTGAGATGCCGTGAATAAAATCTAGCAAGTGAATTTGTTTTGTATCCCGAGTGATAAACATCGTTGTCACCGTGGCACGTGGACGGCGGTGCGATCATGGCTTGTTGACGAAACGAAACCGTGTCGATGAAACGTCACTGAACATTAAGTAAAAAACCTGTG